CTTTATTTCAACTACATAAAAACTGATTAAGGGGCTGGGAAGGTGGCTTAGTGGTAGAGTGCTTGCCTTGCATGTATGAGGCCCTGGGTACGATTCCTCAGCACCATATGAGCAGAAAAAGTCAGAAGTGGCTCAAGTGGTGTAGTGCTAGCCTTGAGCTGAAGAGCTCAGGGACAGTCTCCAGGCCCAAAGTTCAGGCCTCATGACTGACAAAAAATAAATAAATAAAAATAAAAATCTATAAAAACTAATTAAGCAAAGTGAAATCATGTATCCTAGTTCTTGGTTCTTTGATGTATGACATAAAGACATTTCTCTCTGTCAAGTTTAGGAGTTAGCATGTCAGGAATTAAGCTATGTAATCATATGAGATGGTGAAATGGACTTAAAATGAGGACAAGAGGACAAACTGCAAAAATAAGGGCATGAAAGTATTAAGAAGACTGTATATTGTATTAAAAAGGAATTGAATATAAAGATAGATAATGGTTTATCATTGGAAAATAACACAGAAGAAGGTAAAAGATTCACTTAAGGAAACTTAACAAGTATAGTGGGCTACAGTCCTCTCATCACAGTTGGAAATGAGGAGGGACAATGAAAGAAAATGGGAAAAAGTCATGTCCTGCTAGCAGACTAAAACATGACGACCTAACTAAGCTTTGACCATGTAAAATTTCCCCAAGAAATGTAGTGATTCTTAGCTACAATGGTTTTATGTTGGATTTTGTAAATTCTTAACTGAGCCAACAATTATTCAGCTTGACACTATTCTTTAGTTTTCAGCTTGGATGTGAGAAATCCTTGTTTGCTGTTTTGAAAAAGGAGGGAATAGCAACCCAGTTGGTGTAACAACAGTCATCTTCAGTGAAATAATATGCCATGGACTATTTGGATTGTAGATTATTTTATAAACTCAAGGTATAAATTAAGTGAAAGGTTAATATTGCTGTTCATAAAAACTAAAATAATTCAATATTTTATTAACTTTATTTAATATAATGATTTTTATAGCTTATAACTTTAATAAGGGCTTAAACTTCTCTTTTTAAAAATTACTTGAGAGAGAAAGACGAGTTCATGATAAATTTTAACACATCTAATCATCTTTATATTATACAGTTGGCTGGGGAACAGACCAGGGAATTGGTGGATTTGGAGAGGAGCCAGGAATTAAATCTCAGCTAATGAACCTTATTCGATCTGTAAGAACTGTGATGAGAGGTAAGAAGAAAAAGTTGTAGAGCACTCAAAAGTTTTAATTGTTTTCAGTAGCAAAGTTAGAAACTGTTCCTTTCAGTAGAAAAAATAAAGATCTTATATCTATCATTCCATTGGAAAAATATTTTCAAACAGATCAAGAATTCAGATACCTTATACTTAAATAATGTAATTAGGTCTTCTTTTTCTGTTTTACTATGTTATTGACAACTTTGGATTCAATGTTCATAAATTAAGTTTAGTGAGTAAGCTACAGACCTTTTTTGCACTGTATTTGTAATCTCAGATGTGCAGACATACTGATTTGCCTAGGTCCACTCTGTTCCCAGAGTTGAAAGGCACCATCAAAGATATTTCTTCTTGATCTAGTGTACAGTTTATCCTTAATTCCAAGATTTACAGCCCCCTTTAAAAATAATATTTGATTTTTATGATAGTCCAATTTTTAATGTTTCCTTGTAAGAAACACTTAAACATTATTATGATTGCATATTGTTTGTTAGATAGTTAGATATTTCCATCTAATTGAATGCTAGTTACCATTTAGGGTTTTTTCCCTTCCTTTTTCCTCATATTAACAAATTTTCTTTTTTCTTTTCAGTGCCATTGATAATAGTAAACTCAGTTACTATTGTATTGCTTTTATTATTTGGCTGAACATCAGTTGGAGAAATGAAGACTCAGAAGACAAGATGCCAACAGAAGATATTACATCAGTCATTGCTAGAACATTTCTTAGCAGGCTGATCTTGCACTTGACAAAAAAAACAAAACAAAACTATAAAGTTGACAATAAAACCAGAGGTTCTATTTATCTGATTTTTTAAAAAATGTTACACTAGTTTCATTACAAAAGATCAGATCTTCGGAAACCATAGTGCTGCAGGATTAGAATACATTTGACTGCTGACTGTTAATAATTCATGCTGTGGTAAAGATTGTTAAAAGGGTACAAGGCTGTCACTTCCTCTATCACTGCTCAGGGATAAAGTGTTTTCCAAAGTTTTTAAATTCCTTTAGTTATGATATGAGAGTGACTATCTGCTAGATGAAACTTAAAGGATTTAAGTTACATATAAATGATAAATATAAAGGATTTAAGTTACATATAAATGATAAGTAATTTGGACCATTTTATTTCATACTCTTTGGTTAAATACTTAAGCTGTATATTGTCTCTGTTATGAAGAACTCAAATGTATTGATACTATAAGGGGCAGTGCTCTCTGATTTCAGGGAGAATTCCAATTTCTAAGTCAAACGTGTTTTCTTTCATTGTTCTTTTCATACATTTATTTTAAATTGGCCTAAATGATTAGATCATAATGATAACGATAATTCTTTTTCATGGGTAGAAAAACCTATGTAGTAAAGTCTGTGCCCTTTTTACAGTGATGACTTAAAAATCACAAATAGCCTGTATGAACAATCCTAACGTCATAAACTATATGTGTAAGAAGACTGTTTATTGTGAACATTTGCCACCTAATATTATTTCCACTTCTTGGCGTAGCAGTACATTAATGGATGTGATTCTCAATTTTCTGTACTTTCTAGCATTCATGCTAGAAAGCTTCTTTTTAAATTTTGTTTTGTTTTTATGCCTTAGACTACCCTGTGATGTTGTTTGCTCATCCCATAATTCACTTTTATGTAGAAAGATTGAAAGTATGTAAATGGTTTTCATGACAGTGATCAGTTATAATATTTTAAAGGAGTAAAATGGCATCTTTGTTTATAGGAGAACTTTTGTAAATAAAGTTGAAATTTCCAAGTCAAGCACTTACTTTTTTGTATCTTAGCATAAAAATGTCTATTAAAATTAGTCATCTCAAGTATGTACAATGTTGTAAAACTGACAAGTAGAAATTTGTGAAAGCAAACATTCACAATCCATTTTTTCTTCATTGAATCACTGAAGTGCCAACATTTTGTGAGTAAGTTTTATTCTGTTATTTAAATTACTTAGAACACCGTAGCATAAGTATAGAATACCTGTTGGTGGTGCATGAATTAGAAATGGATAATCTTTGGATTGTGGGCTTGCAGTGAAACTAACAAAATAGACCTGAAAGTCTTAAATCACTGGGCTCCTGTAAGTAACCAAGCCTGTTAAAGAGGCAATGTACTTTAGGCCTATCAGTTGAAATATCCAAATTTGTGCTTCTCAACTAGTTAAAAATAAATCAGTTAATTGGGGGCATTCTCATTTCCTCATATGCTATAAGTCATACAAAGTTTTTAAAAAGAGAAAATACTTTGATTCCTTTTTTTTTTTTTGCCAGTCATGGGGCCTGAACTCTGGGCCTGGGTGCTGTCCCTCAGCTCTTCAGCTCAAGGCTAGCGCTCTACCACTTGAGCCACAGCGCCACTTCTGGCTTTTTCTGCTTATGTGGTGCTGAGGAATGGAACCCAGGGCCTCATGCATGCAGGGCAAGCACTCTACCACTGAGCCACCTTCCCAGCCCCCTTTGATTCCTTTTTTATGTAAGAAATTACATGTGTACCTACAGGTTAATTTAGTGTTAGAATATTGTTCATATTCATCTATGAGGGAGTAGTCACAGCAAGAAAAAGTCCATGTTCCATTGAAAACAATTCTAAGGAAAGTGGACATTGACCTTCAGATTTCTTAATCTCTAGAAGCGACTCCCACAATTCTAGTTTTAACAGGAAATCTTTTAAGCTTTAATGCATTGGTCATCTCCCTAAACCAGTTGTGATTCAGAAACTATATCTCACTTTAGTAGACAATAACAAGTGCCTGACTGCCTGACACATCTTCCTCCATATTCTCTCAGGATTAATAATTTGTGGTCATTCTAGACTCTGGATATCATGAGTGTGGTCTTAAGTGTTCGGAACGCCTGTCTGTCTCTTAATTGGTATGAAAGATTGTGGCTTACTTTACATATTAGATACAAACCCTTGTCAAATAGTGGTTTTCCAACTTTGATTTTGAACAGCAGAACTAGATTTCTGAAGTAATTTTAATGTAGAACTCTAACACTGCAGTATCTAAAACATGAGACCAAAGGTGCAGTGTTCAGCCTCTGCCATTTTTATGCCTGTCAAGGCACACCCATAAAACCTCTTAAGTTGTCAACATGGCTGAAAGTATTTTTTTTCTTTTTTTCTCCTTTTTTTAAAATTTTATTTGTGAACATACTGTAAATTGAAAGTATTTTTAAATCGTACCTTACAGCAAGCATAGGCATTGTGATCTGTGCTTTGGAGGCATTTGCAGTCCTTGAATTTACGTGTGTGTGCACTCATGAAACTTGTTGGGAGCAGGCTGTGGTGTGCAGCTCTTGCCTCCCGAGGCGCTGGTAGGGTGAGACAGCCAGGGTCTGGAAAAGCTGGTGCGGGGAGCTTGGGAGGTCAGTGCCCCAGGCTGTGGTTAAAGGGGACAAGCAGAACTTGGGAGAGCAGGTGTTAGAGCACCCTCGAACGAGCTCTCGGGAAAGCGTAAGAGACGTGGAGGACCAAAAAAGGGAGAGGTTCCGTCTGGGCGCGTTCGGATTGCCGAAGGGCGGCCGACCCGTGCCCTGCGGAGCAGCCCCAATACCTAACCTGAGCGGAAGCACTCTTAGAGGGGCGGGACTTCCGGGACGCCCAGGCTCAGCCGCCGGGCATCCTACGAGCAGTGACCGGACGCGCTCGAGGCCCGCGGCGGGACTCTGGACGGAGCGCGGGACTGGCGTTTATTGAGGACAGCGTGAGGGAAACGGGGGTGAGGAGCCACGCAGCAGAGTAAATTGATGATATAGGAGGAAGCGGGGTGCTTCTTGTAGGAGGGCCCGAGAAGATCGGCGGCGTCCCTAGGCCACCGCCCTCCCTCGGAGTCTGCGCCAACCCGTGCGCAGGCTCTGAGAGGACGCCGCCCCGGCTGTGGCCCCTACTGCGCGTGCGCAAAGAAGCCTCCGCTTGGCTTCCCGCACGTGTGCGTAAGGTGGCTGTTCTGGTCCGAGGTCTCCCCAGGTGGGTAGCGACTGCGTGGTGGTCCCTCCAGGAAACCTGGCCCTGAACTGTCCTTGGACGCCAGCGTTCCGTCCCCACTTCCCGGTCAGCCTGGATTAGTGGATCATTCAATTCGGATTAAAACTATCACTGCATTAATTGGACTTTTATATATAGTTCTTTTTTTCCCAGTCTTTATTTTATCCTTTTAATTACCCTCAGAGTTAACATAATTTTATTGCACTTTAGGTTGTCTCATCAAAGTTGGATTTTTTTTTAAAGAAACATCTTTGTTCCTCTTTATGTGAGAATGCTTTGTCTTCATTTTGCTCGTCTGTTTATTTTTGTAGTGCAGTGTATTTTAAAGAATCTTTCATCCAGACTAACACCCTAGACAGTTTAGTCTTTTGACACACAAGCTGTTCCCCCTCCTTGAAATTTCAAGGTCACAATGAAGATTCAGAATAGAATGACGTGAGGACCGTTAGGAAAAGGAGGATTTTGCAGTTGAATTTTGATTAAAGCTCTTTTTATTTTTTGTCCTGCACTCTTTTGCTATTTTTTTCCAGTAGATACATTATGAAAGATTCTTTCTTAAAACTCAAAAACTTTGGGAGTGGGAGTTTTAATTGCTGAGAATATAATAGGACTCATTTAGTTGCTTAACTATATTAAATAACTATGACTGACTATAATAGGATGGATTTTATTGTCTTCTACACAAGAGTATATAACATGCAGGTAAGTTTCTAATAATTACAATAAAGAATATCTACATACTCACTAGTTAGGTCAAGAAGTAAAACATTGCCAGACCTCAGAAGCTCCCTGAATTTTCCTCATCTATGCCTGTTCTCTATCCATCTATGCCTGTTCTCTATCCCCTGTAGGGAATCAATATCCTTACTCTTTGATAACCATTCTCTTCTCTTCACAGTTTTAACACCTATGCACCCATTACTAAATTTGATTATTATTATGAATATACACATATATACAATTTGATTATTATTATGAATATACACATATATACAAACCATAAATATATGTACTTATTCCTGAGTTCTGTTGACCCTGAAGTAGGTTTTTGAGAGTAGTCTTATAGTGACATATTTAAATGTACTTCACTAATTTCCAGGGTAGTCTGTGAGTGGATATACTATAGTTTGTTTACTCATCCTTTGTTGATAAGCATTTGTATGGTTTCCAGTTTTGGGCATTATAAACAATGCTGCTGTGTTCTTATCTCTTGGTACAATGTAAAAGAAGCTCTCAAGGATACAATGCCCAAGAGTAGAATTGTTAGGGTAAATGTTGCCCAACTAATTTCTGAAATGCTTGTACTGGTTGTTTTCTCACTAATAGTATACAAGAATGCCTGATGGCCACCCTTGGCATTTTCAGACTTAAATTCTGCCAATCTGTTGATTTGGTGCAATGATCATTTTTTGTTTTATGTTTTTTCCCAGTGAGTTTTTAGCATCATTATTTATCTGCTATTCAGGTTTGTTCTTTTTGTGAAGCATAAGTTGAGGTTTCATGCTACTTGTATATTGGGAGGTTCTTCTTTTCAGAAGTTCTGGAGTTTGAACTCAGGTTCTTGAGCTTGCTAGGCAAGCGTTTTACCACTTGAATCATGCCTTTGGCCTTTTTGTGCTTCAATTCTTTTTCAGTGGGATTCTTGCATCATAGTTGTGGTCTCCTACACCCTATCACCTCCCTTTCTGAGCCATCCCCTCAGTCCTGAATCCTCTTACATGCATCATCCTATGCATGTAGCTAGGAACATACCAGCATCTAGTTGAGACTGGACCCACTAACATTTCCCTGGGACTGGTGTCTAATTGATAACCTCTGAATCCAGACTCCTGATGTTACCTGCTGCACCTAGCCTTGTCTTTTTCTTAATATTTATCATTTCTATTTCCTACATTCCTGTCCTTTCTCATGTGTTAAGCATACATTCTTGTATATATTTTCATTCCCTTTGTGGTACTTTTAAAATACAGTTGAATATCTGCCTTTTTATGATTTCTGCTTTTTATATCTTGTTTTACAAACCATTTCTAAAATAGTGTTTCATCCTCTGGTCCTAAACATAGTCCTCTTTCTAAAAAGTTGTACAGTTTTATCTCAACTGTGTGGTTATTTAATGTACTTGGAATTTTTTTGTATGTGTTTGTATGTTATGATACTAATCAGTGACCAGAGCTCACCAGAAGTTTGCTTCAGTTCAGAGGCTCACTCTGGTTTTCTTTAAGTGTGAATTTGTCTGATTTGGGGTGGGAGCAGGATCTGAGAAAGATGCTTAGCAGAAATAGGAGGCGCTAAAGGGGTTAAAAGTCAGAAGCTGCAAAGATATTTAGCTGCAGTCTTTGCTGCCTCTCACCTCCTGGCAAAACTACATCTAAGGGAGAACAGTATTTCAAAGGATAACATTGGACAATCCAGAATTTTTCAGACTGCTCTGGGAGGTGGATGCAGTGGATTTAGCAAGCCCAGGTGAAGAGGAGAAAAATCAAAGCTTTGAGGGGGATAATGCCATACATTGATTCTTCCAGCTCATATCTCCTGACTGAAGGCAATAGATAGAAATCATGGCACCATCTTGCTTCCTCACACTGTGTACTGAAGAGAAACATAGGATCAAAAAGGATAAACTTGCCAACATCAAACCATAAACATGAAGCAGAATCAAAACCAACCCCTAACCCTGCTGACTACCAATTCTGAGCGCTAAGTTGTATCTCAGGAAGCTAGGTAGGAGAGAAAGGTCTTCTTCCCACCTGCCATCCTTCCCAAAATAAGATGCCATAACCTCCCTACCCCCACCCCCACAAATCATGGTAATTGTCTGCCTGCATCTCCTAGTTTTTTTGTTGTTTTGATTTTTGTGTGTGTGTGGGAGGGGTCCGGTATGGGGCCTGAACTCTGGGCCTGGGCACTGTTGCTCAGCTCTTCAGCTCAAGGCTAGCACTCTACCACTTGAGCCACAGCGCCACTTCCGGCTTTTTTCTTTTTGCTTATGTAGTGCTGAGGAATCGAACCCATGGCCTCATGCATGCAAGGCAAGCGGTCTACCACTGAGCCACCTTCAAAGCCGTCTCCTAGTTTTTTCTAGCTGAGATTTAGCCCTCTGCCTTCACTTATAAAGGAATTGCTCTTTCATCTTTACTTTTACACTAAGACTGAACACATACATAATGCACAAAGCAACTCGACAATCTTCTCTAATGGTAAGGGCAAGCATATACCTTCAGAACTCAGTAAGACCCTTGAGAAATGCTCACCTCTGTGTCTGTTTGGAGATGTATTGGGTTGTTCATAGAAGCACTGTGGTATAACAAAAATATTTAAAACGATTTGGATGTTCATGATTATGAAAAATTACGAAGTATTTATTCAGGGGTGAAAATGAATAGCTACCTGTGTTAACATAGAGACACATTTCAGATAATGTTGAATAATGAAGCAAGTTGCTCATGTTCACAGAACACCATTGATAAAAGGTTTGGGATAGATACATAAAACTCAAGAGGGCAGCTTTTGTGGGAAAGTAGAGAAAGAGAACTGGATGAGAGAAGATACACATAGGGCTTCAAATATATCTATCATTTCTGGAGCTGAATGATGGATAAATGAGGTAGTTAGATATTTTTTATTTTTTTTGGTATGCCTGACATTTTCTTAGAAAAATAACTAAATAGAAAGAAAATCATTTAATAGGTTGTTTTAAAAAATCTGTAAATCAAGCACCATCCTCACCCACTTCCTTACTGATTATATTTAAACCATATTTAAGCTCTCTATATGTTATAATTCACAGTAGAAATCATTTGAATAAAAAATGTAGAAAAGGAAAACTGCACAGTATAAATTAAGGAAAACATCTTCGTACTTTAAAATTAGTAAGGAGCTTGAAATTTCTTCTTTGGTGATGTGAGATACTGGGAGCTCCTTGTTCATATGTCATCTAGGGCTTAAAAAAGTATAGGAAGGGAAATGCTAAAAGAGATGTCACTATTTACTTTCAGGATTCTTAAACAATCTTGGCGAACAATTTATTTTAAAATGAGAATAATCTGCTCCAAAGCCTAGGTGGATGAATACTTCATATTAACAAGTCTTCTTCATCTTTGGTTACATACAATAAAAGCATTCTAATCATCCAGCTCCACTGCCATGTCCTGGATGGCATATGGACAAAGAGCTCCCAGTATCTCACATCACCAAAGAAGAAAGTTCAACATTTTTTTTTTCTGAGAGAAGAAGTTTAACACTTAAGCAGTATCTTTTTCTGGATTTAAATGATATTTTTGAAGACTTACTAGTTCTTAATTGTCCATTGTTTCCTAAACTGTATTTTTAATTTTATTTGCTCTCCTAGGGAATGAAGGATGGCAGCACGCCGTGCATTAAAAGCTGTTTTGGTGGATCTCAATGGCACACTTCACATTGAAGATGCAGCTGTGCCAGGCGCACAGGAAGCTCTTAAAAGGCAAGCTATCCTCTAGGTTCAGCTGACAAATATGTTTGTAAGTGCCATTTCACCAAGGCAGATCATTAGCTAAATGGATGGCCTTTAGATGGCATCTCACCAGCTTACCGATATATACAGGAACTGCTTTGGTTCCCGTATATCCTCCAAATATTGTTCTCCAAGCGTTTATTAGATTTGGCCTTTTGTTCTTTTTGTTCTATGTGTATGTGCAGGCATGGTGTGTGTGTGTGTGCATGTGTATGTGCTCGAGCATATTCATGCAAATGTTCATGCATGCACTTTAAGTATTGTAATTTTGGAATGAGAATGCTAACTAAAATTGGGAGTAAATAACATTGGAAGATCTCGAATGAATCCTGGAATCCAAACAAAACACAAACAGGCATAGTTTGGCCTTTGAATATGCATCTGCTGAAAATAAAGTTTGACTGAGGAGGTGGCAGTGGGAATTGTGAGTTTGAGGCCAGCCTAGGCTATTCAGCAAGACTCTGCCTCAAAACGCTAAATAAATAAATACGTAAATAAATAAAATTTGACTAAACAAATTGAAATTGTAAAATTATTTCTATCAACTAAATTTAATGATTCCAAAGATTAGGTACTATCTTATTTCTAGTGTACAATTATACTAAACACAAACACAAATCTAGGTACAAACTGAGGAAAAGTGTGTTAAAGGGAACTGTATGTGTTTGCCTTGGGTGTCCTGAAAAACAATAATCAACAGAATAATTGACATTAAACATCTTCATTCCAACAAAAATTAGTGAGGTTTTAAAAATCAGCAGTTCTTAACACCTGGTGCTTATTCTTTTCTGACCTTAAAATGTTGACTGTGTCATTCATTAAATGGGAAAACATTGTCACTGTGACAAGTATCACAGTGGCAGGTGTAAGGGGAAAAAATTAATGCAGATCCCACCCTCTCTTAGTATGCTTACTTTTTCCTTTGGAACACCAAAAAATAGAAACTGTGGGGCCCTGATAAGCAGCGGGGCCCAATAGTCATCGTGGCCCCATGGCCCGGCCTGCTGGAGGAGGCAGGGCATCAAGAGGCGAGCCTCGCTGCTCCATAGACTGCCAGACATAGGCTGCCAGACAGAGCCGGGCTTTGAGAGGCTGAAGTCACCGCCCCACAGGGCATGCTGCCGGAGGGGCGTGCCACGTGGCCGAAATGGGGTGGGCATGCCGCTGAGAGGGGCAGAGCATGCTACTGGAGGGGTGGGGCATTGAGCCCCACATAGTGAGCTGTCAGGAAGTGATTGGACAGTGGGCAGCTGGGGGAGGAGCATGAATGGCAGTTGGAAAACCATTAGGGAAAAACCTTTAGGAAAAAAACTGAGTGCAGAGGAAGGAGAGGAGGAGAAAGGCAGGAGGGGAAAGTTGGCTGGAGCCGGGCAGGACAGGCCTGTGCAGGACAGGGCAAGTCTGGAGAGGCCGTTCGGGACTTCCCAAGGAAGCCATTTGGGGCCTCCTCCAGAGGTCATTTGGGGCCTCCTTCGGAAGCTATTTGGGGCCTCCTCCAGAGGCCATTCGGGGCCTCCTTGAGAGGCTATTTGGGGCCTCCTCGGGTCTTTTGGGGCCTCCTCTGAGGGCTATTTGGGGCCTTCCTCTGGGAGAGGCCTGTGGAGAGGCCTCCTGGAGCAGAGCAGGGCAGGCCCGTGGAGAGTGTAGAGGCCTGTAGTGGAGCAGAAAGGGAAAAGCCTTCCCCTTTGGAGCTTTGGAGGTCTAAGGTTTGGAGGTTTACAGACCGACTACTTTGGTGGTTTTCAGACCAACTAATAAAGGTCGGCAGGTCAGGGCTGCCTATTGGAGGATTGGAGGTTTGGTAGTCGAGGCTGCTCTTGGTTCTGGGTATCTAATCTTGGTTCCGGGTATCTAGCCCAGGACAAGGTAGTCTCAGGACTACCAGAAAGAGTTTTGGTGTAAATAGTGTTCACCTTTCACTATGCCTATATGGATTGTCTCACACTCTGGAGGTCATAAGTCTAATAAAGGTTGGGGCTGCCTATGGGAGGTTTGGACATTTGGTGATTGAGGCTATCTTGGTTCTGGGTATCTAGCCCAGGACAGGTAGTCTCAAGACCCTTTTCTGGTGTAAATAGTGTAAGCAAACTTCTTTTGTTCACTTCTCACTGTGCCTCGATGGATTTTCCGGATGTCATAAGTAAACAACGTATATGTTAGTATCAGTTGAAAGCTGTTGGTTCTGATGTTCATTTTGTGTGTGAAGAAATATTAGACAGCATGTTGCTTAAAGGCAAAAGAAAATAAGATACGCAGTTAGAATTTCACACCTTGACATGGTGTGCCTCTTAGGCTTTCTAAGAGTAAGGATGGATGCCAGCTGCTTCTATGGATAGAACTTTTACAGCTTTAAAAATGAGCTCTCTGATTTGGATTGAAAGATCTTTATTTTTATTGGACAGTGACATCTGTATGAAACTGTAAAGCGAGCTTACCTTTTAAGGGTTAGGAGCTTATACATTGTTCTGTTACAGGCCTTGGCAGGTTTTCCTCCCAGAGAAACTGTACTGATACTGACAGTTTGGTTTCTATGGAAACAAATAGACTACAGGAAATTGAGGGACTAGTAAAATAAAAAGTTTTTTTAAAAACTCATTTAAAATGATATGGTTATTTCATTCTTATTTTTAGGATAATACTATGTTGAAGCAATCAATTTCTTTTGCAAGACAAATGACCAAATTCTCTGCAAATGTGTTTTGCGGAGAAGTTACTACACAGATGTTATAGAAGTAATCATGATTACAGTGAGTTATTTAATCATATAAATTTATTTAATGTTTTTTGGGTGACTACTTAAAAATCTCTTCTGTTTTATTTGCTTGTTTGTTTTAAATTATGGTTCATGTTTTTGTGCCTAATGGCCTTTTGGCACAGGCATAAAATAAAAGGCAGGCTATTCAAAATTAAAAAATAAAATTATTTTTCTGTTTTGGATTACAGCACTGTAGGCCAATGAAAAGTTTATTTTTAAAGAAGGATAAGCTATTTTTAATTCTTTCTGTGATATTATGTTGTTAGATTTCAAAACCAGATCCTAGAGTCAAACCAATCATGTATGTAGTTCAAGGGGAAACATCCCATCTCCCCTTTTAATTTTTTAAACACATTCCCTTTATATAACCCAGATTGGCCTTTATCTCATGATCTACCTGCCTTAGCTTTTTGAGTGGAGGAGTTGTAGTTGTGTACCACTGTATCTGACTGGGAAACCCATTTTGATCTATAAAAATGAAATGTTTCTTTGAGGTACCCAATTACTTTGTGTTTATGAATGTAATAACTCATTACTATGTTCTCTAATAAAATTCAGGGACATCTTCTATTCCCTTAGTACAGTGATTAGTTACTGTCCCAGGACAGAAAAATCTCATCTTAATCTCACTGCTAGCAAAGATGCATATGCTTAAACTGGCATATCACTTAACTGTATGTAACTCCTCAATTTTCTCAGTTTTAAGAGATGACTATTGTATCAGAAAATAATTATTAACCACATTTTATCTCAAGTGGTTGTGCATGCCTGTACTCCCAGCACTCAAGAAGCTGAGACAATAGATCCCAAGAATCATCACCTTCAGAGTGAAATCCTCTTTCAAAAATACATACAACCCCTCTGCACAGTATTTTTACAATAAAAACATTAAAAATAAAAACAAAAATACATACACATACATTACATACACAAATACATACATAGTTATCATGTACATATTTTTATATATATTTATTTGTCTACTAACATTTGGCACAGGTTTATTAAATTCGGAGGTTACATGATCTAGGATTGTAAAAGCTGTCAGTGACTTTTGAATTTTACTTTTCCAGATTGCGTGGTTCTTCTGTAATGGTTAGGTTTGTGACCAATACTACCAAAGAGAGCAAGCAAGATCTATTAGAAAGGTTGAAAAAATTGGAGTTTGATATCTCTGAAGATGAAATATTCACTTCCCTGACTGCAGCAAGAAGTTTAGTGGAGCAGAAACAAGTCAGACCCATGTTGCTGGTTGATGATCGAGCCCTACCTGATTTTAAAGGTAGGAGAATTTTGGAAAGTTTTAAAAATAAGCCCTTCACATCTTCATATAAGTCGTTCATAAGAGGAGTGTATTCTACTGAGTTTGGTGGTACATCCCTGTAATTAAGGAGATAGAGGCAGGAGAATTACAAGTTTGAGGCCAGTCTGGACTACATAGTGAGTTATAGGCCAGCCTCAGCTACATAGAGAGACTCTGTCTCAAAAAACAAAACAAAAAAAGGAAACAAAAATGTCTAATCTGATTTTCCTTTGTTATTATTGAAATGGTGTACAGTACTAACAGTTTGAATCTGAATTGGTGTTTCTTAGATCTGTTTTGACTAACCATACAAAGTAAGGGAAACATATAATAACCCAGTACATATACGTATGTGTGTTATAGCTTAAGTAGTACTTACCCTACTATAGGAAATACGTTCTATTTTTCTATTTGTTTTGCCTGCTTGTTTGATACTTGATGCCATCTAGAGCCCTCCAAATTAGTTTCATAATCCGCCATGAGCCATGAGTTTGAATTAAACTCAATGGAGAATTACTTTGAGTATCATTACAATCTAGAAGCTATTCTTTAACTTGACTAAATGAGATAAAACTAGACCACCTTCAAAATAGATGTCATCTGGATAGTGTGAAGATTTACAAAGAATGTAAATATATTTTGCAGTAAAGAGAAAAGAATAAAGAGAAAATTATTTTTTCTTTGGAAAAAAGCAACTGTGGGATAGTGTCATAATTTTATTGAGCTTTGCCACAATTCCTTTTTTTGATAAATGATATTCCAAGTGAAATGACACAAAAATGAACATAAATATATAAATTATAACATTACTATATAAATTATAATTTTCCTATTAGCTTACGCTAATAGGAAACAACAGTATATCAGTCATATTTATTTGTAAGAAACAAACTAACTTGCTGAATTAAACTAAAAATGTTTTATGAGGATCTAAGTGCTTAGGGGACTATACAGTTTCTATAATAAAGGATGTGGCAGTAGCTAACAATTATATATAAAGTAGCATTTGTAGGAATCTATTTCTGAGATGTAGTTACAAAGCTACACAATGCTATATAAAAAAGGGTATTCATTAATTTGTAATGATGAAAAGATTAGAAACAACCCAAATGTTCACTCAGTAGACTGACTAAACTATGATATATCCACAAAATGGAGTGATTTGTAGCTGAAAAGCAAGTAACAATGCAAAGTTTTGTCTCGGGCTGGGAAGTTGGCTCAGTTGTAGAGCGCTTGCCTTTCATGCATGAGGCCCTGGATTCAATTCCTCAGCACCATATAAGCAGAAAAAAGCCGAAAGTGGTGCTGTGGCTCAAGTGGTAGGGCACTAGCCTTGAGCTGAAGAGCTGAGGGACAGCACCCCAGGCCCAGAGTTCAGCCCCCCTAACCGCAAAAAAAAAAGGTTTGTCTCCTGATAAGAAGTAATCCTCATAAATTAGAGTAATTGAAAATATGAAGTATACAGAGTCTTACACATTTGCAAAATATTGATGGTTATGAAAAATGGATGTTAGGTGTATTGAGGCTCATAAAACTGGTCTTTCTACTTTTATACAACTTTGGAAATTTTCCTAAAAAGGGTTATTTGAGTGACTGGAAAACTGGAGGGTTAGTCAAAAGGGCTGTGCAGCCAGACACAATGTGCATTGTCACCCATAGAACTTTTTTTTTTTTTAATTGTGAACATACTGCACAGAACTAATCTTATGCAGTTCCTGCCTCGGCTCAGCACTGACCTCTAGCTGGGCCTGTTGGTGTCATAGGCACTTCAGTCTTAGAATCTAACAGAATCAGTAGTCACTTGCTCAGGGTCCATTCTTCCTACTTCTTTATTTTGTGTTATTGCCCCAGTTCAGATCCCTGAAGGTTTCTGATCGACAGATCTTAAGTCTTATGCCTTAGCTGCAAGGAAGTCTAGCAAACATACGTTTATTGTGTGAGGCTGAGCATTGCTCTGAGCATGCTATAGGGGCTAGTGAGTTTTTTTATTTTATGATAATGGCATGCAGAAACCAGGCAACAAAAAAAAATCATGACTGTAAACACATGTTTAATCAAGATAGTGTTGCTTCTAAGGGAGCTAAAGAACTAAAAAACAATTTTTTAATTTGATTTTTCTCTTATTGACTTGTATGATATTCAGATTCTTGTAGTTTCCATATAAAATGGAGCAGAATCCTTAATCTAGGAGAAATTTTTGTCATTCAGTCTAGAACTATACTTGCAATACATATGAAAAGACCCAAAAAGATGGATTTTTTGAGGGAATGGAAATATCTTTGTTAATATTGAATATTTTTATTCTATTGTTATATACATATAATGAAAAGAACACTAAAAATTTTCAGTATCCAACAGTTTTAGCTTGTTATTTCAACAAACTTAAACCAATTACCCAATTCTCATGGCAACTAGTAAGAAAGAATTTTAAAAAACTTGGACATCTGTAGTCAATAAGAGAGAAGTACAGTAATTGACATGTAGAGAATCCACACAACTTTTAATCAGACTTCACAATTGTGATGGGGAATGTGCTTATTTGGTTCTCATATCTGAAGTACTGTTATCAGATTATAGGTCTTAAAACTGTACAACTTGCAGTCTTTTCCATGTTTATTGTTAGTGTGTCAACTTCGGCTTTGTCAAATAAAAAGTCTACTTTCTCTTGCCTTGTAGAATCTCAGTCCCTTATCAGTTGCTATTGATCTGATAGTTCATAGGGAACTCATGGCTGTCCTTGTTGATTATCATCACTAAAGCATTTCAAAGTTAGAAGTTACTTGTTTGACAACCATCGATTTACAATTTTCAATTCTCATTTTCTAGATATTGAGTAACTGTAAGAATATCTACACAGAATATGAAAAATTAGCAGACCTTCTCCCCTAACCCTCTGTTCTTATATTTCCAAAGTGCACTGAGAAGGAAAATCTCTCAAACTTTTGATTATGGCTATAACAAAAATGTGTATTTGATTAAGATCACTTTGTTATAAAATGTGACATTGCCTTTTATTGCCTTTTAAAAAATTTAAGCAATTGCATTTGCTTTATTTTCAGGAATACAAACAAGTGATCCTAATGCTGTGGTCATAGGCCTGGCACCAGAACATTTTCATTATCAAATTCTGAATCAAGCATTCCGGTAAATCTAGCTACTTATTTTTTGTCACCTAACTTGTTATTTTACTTTCTGGGTATGTAGGTTATATATAAGAAAAGAAATCTTCAAAATCACTTTTAAGATTGTCATCAAGTAATATTGTTTACTACCTTGACTTCGATTTTTTTTTAATGATTGGTATATTAAAATGTGATGAACATTGGGGTTTTTCTGGTTCTTAGAATCAATACTTTGGAGCAGAAATTCATAATAAAATTGCTAGTGTTACAGCTATCAGAAAAGGACTGACAAAAAGAAATAAAGGTAGCGGTAATATCTTTTATTATTCCTCCTGTGGTTCTCCATTGACAATGCTGATCTCTAAATGAAGTAACATCCAGGCTAATCTACTAACAACAATAAATGTGTACCATCCTCCACTTAGACCCTTGTTTTGGAAGGGTTGCACATTTGACCACACTTTCAAATAAATCATTCTGTGAATGATCATAGTATTTTTTTTTTTTTTGGTCGGTCGTGGGGCTTGAACTCTGGGCCTGGGTGCTGTCCCTCAGCTCTTCAGCTCAAGGCGAGCGCTCTACCACTTGAGCTACAGCGCTACTTCCCGTTTTCTGGTGGTTTATTGGAGATAGGAGTCTCATGGTCTCTCCTGCCTGGGCTGGCTTTGAACCTCAATCCTCAGATCTCAGCCTCCTGAGTAGCCACCAGGCGTGAGCCACCAGCACCCGGCTGATCATAGTATTTTATACCAGAATAATGACAGGAGATTTCAGTAATGTCCCTACAGCATGCTAGATAATACTGTTTAGGGGATGAAGAAGAGAGAGTGGAGAACATTTTTCGTATTTTTTTAGTATTTAGTAAATGTTTAGTATTAGCTAATTTTAATATTTAGTAATTTTTTAGTGTTTTTTGGTATTTAGTAGCTATACAAACCATTTTTCTCATCCATACAATAATCAGTAAGAATCAATCTAAACTACTTTATGTAGAATTTATTTCTTGATATATATATATTGATATATATATATATGTCCTAGAATTAGAATATTTGCAGGAATCTTTAAAAACAATATCACGTTCATACACGTGGCCACATTGTTTGTTGTCTATCTTGAAAATGGCTGTCTTCACAGAAAATCTGTGTGGCCAGATTAAGGTGGACAGACACCTTCATTGCATGTGTGGTTAGTTTAGATCCTTGGTTAATGGAAACCACAACTACTTAATGGACTTTCATTTGTGACTGTGAGTCACTGTGATACTCACTTTTGTTTAAAATTCATTTCCCTTGGTTATTGCCTGGACATCCACTGCTATGCCACATTGCTTGAAAATGTTGTTTGGAGTATACGATACTAAACTTTCTTATTTTCACCTACTTCAATTACCCTGCTTTCGTTTCTTATGGAGATTATCCTGTTTGCTCCCTGAGTATGGCTACAAGTATACCAAAGTCATTTTTCTTTTTTTTTTTTTTTGGTTGATCATGGGGCTTGTACTCTGGATCTGGGCGCTATCCCTCAGCTCTTTAGCTCAAGGAGAGCTCTCTACCACTTGAGCCACAGTGCCATTTTCCCAAAGTCATTTTTCATTTGAACTAGTATTTTTACTTCTGAATTTACCGTTACTATCTTTTCTTTATTATTTGAGCCATAGAATTCAAAGAGAAAGTATTCATTGATTTTTAGCTAGTTACTTGGGAAGGACATGTTTAATAGGAAATTAGAGGTCTCTTAGATGAGTAGTAGACTCACAGTAATAAAAATCTATGTTGACATAATACTGACTTGTAATTGCTCAGATGCTGTCTAATTAGTACACTTTCCTAACCACATTGATTCTTTTAAACCTGACATTTTAAAGCATTACAGTGCACTTATAAGTCAACTCCAATTTCACAAATGCAGTTAACAGCTGGATGGAGAGTTAACAAGGATTTTAGGTCTTGCCCTTGTTTGCATATTGATGTTTCCACAGAGACTGTGCCTTCCATCTAGTGACTGCAGCTGTCTGGATTGTATATGGCAAATATAGACATCTCAAATGAACCACCGATTAAATTACTATTCAGGTTGATAATGAGAATAAATGTTGGATGTTAAAGACCATTGCATAGCTTCCGTGCATGCCAGTATTAGGGGCATGTTGCATCAAGTACGATACATCCTTCATACTACACTGTCTATTACATACTGTTTTTAATGAAGTGGCCCCCCTAAAATGTATAACACATCTACTTATGTCTTTCATACCCAAATGAAATTGACAATGATTTTAATAAATTAATTTGGGAAAAGAATATGAACCAGTTATGAAGAATGAATATGAGTATGACTTGTGATTGGATTATTTAAAACATGCAAACCTAACATCATTGCTAGCTTTTTTCCTTTTATATTGAACTAAAAATAGGTAAAAAATAAGGAATTCTCATATTCACCTATTCTCATATATACCTGTCAACCAGTAGGCCCCATAGGTATTTGAATTGTGAATTTAGTTTTCCCTTTTTTTTTTTTTGTTGGTCGTGGGGCTTGAACTCTGGGCCTGGGCGCTGTCCCTCAGCTCTTTAGTGCAAGGTGAGCGCTCTACCACTTGAGCTACAGCGCCACTTCCAGTTTTCTGGTGGTTTATTGGAGATAGGAGTCTCACGGTCTCTCCTGCCCGTGCTGGCTTTGAACCGCGATCCTCAGATCTCAG